CTCTCCCTGTCCTGTCCTAATCCACCAACTCAGTTTCTCTCCCCACCTCAGGCCCCTCTTCTAAGGTCCCTCTCCCATTCTAGTTCTCTCTCATTGACAGCCAGGCTCCGTGTGAGTGTGTGCGCGCGTGTGCACTAGCTAAGTGAGAGCCAGGAGGCAAATGGTCTCACCTTCCCTCACACACCCATACTACCAGGCTCCGTTTCACTGCCTGCCTCCAACAGAGCAGTAGCTGGAGACGGGGAAAGAGAATGGTGTGCCAGGTTCAAGGAAAGTGAAGTTTAGGAGTAACAAAGAAAAGGACCAGGCCAGGAAGTTTGCTCACATTCTAGCCTTGGCTTGGCAAATCTCTTCTGCTTCTGCCCAATCTTGAACCTTCCTCTTTCCATCACGACCACCATTCCAGTCTCTTGCACTCATTTGTCCCAAAGAGAGACCAGTGCTGTGCTTCCCTCCTACCTGTCTGCCCACTGAGGCAGAACCATTCCTGACCCAAAGGAAGTAGACCTCTGTTCCTTATAACCAGAGAGTCCTTGGCAGGTCACCTGAGGCTGGAGGCCAGCCCCCAAGGCACTGTATGAGCTAGGTGAGGGGTCTCAGGTAGGGTAAACTGAGGGTCCGCAGGTGAAGAGGTAGTGTAGTTAGGACCAGAAGAGACAAGTCAGGAGGGACCTTATTTATCATAGCAGTCCTGGGCCCAGATGGGGTCAGACACCCCGCCCTCGCCGGCAGAAGTGAAGCCTGAGGGGCAGCCTGAGAAGCTGACATGCCCCAGGAACCACAGCAGCTCTGACTTTGAGCGCCCCCTTCTCGTCTCCTGAAAAAGGACCCTCATGAACACCTGTCCCCTGCCTGTGAGGGCCTATCATGGAATCCAGTCCCTGTCAGTGCAAACTCTGGAGGACTACCCCAATCCGGGGCCCTGACCGTACCAGGCCAAGTGGGCAGGAAAAGGAGGTGTGTGTGAAAACCAGAACTAAATGTGGGGCTCTGAGTGTCTGGCAGGACTTTGAGAGGTGCTGCTGCCCAGCCCCCGGGGTGGTAGGAGCTAAGGGATAAGGAGACAGAAAATTCAGGACCATACACCCAGAGTTCACACAGCATGGGCAGGCTCAGAACCCAAGGACAGCTCCCGGTTCAGCCCAGCTGGAGGTGCCCAGCTCTGGAGCTCTCGACTGGACTTAGAGGAGAACAGGGTGAACTGGGTTCTGATTCCCAGGACAAGGGGATTGGGCAGGGATCCTGGCCTTGCTAAAGCTCTGTCCTGCTGGAGACAGGGGCAGGGCTCCCCAAAGGTGTGAAGGCTGGTGGGACCAGGCACTGAGCTGCAACTATGCTTCTCTGGTGCAGGTGGAGAGAGAAGCAGGAGGAAGGCTGTGCCTAGTGCTTCCAACTCCCCTAGGACCCAGGGATGCTGGGGTATTCAGACACCTTCTGGGCCTCAGTTTCCCTTTTTGTCCAGCGAGGGCCAGGAGCTGGTCTCACGGGTATCACACTCGGCAAGGGTGCCAGGGTAAGATGCACGCATGTCAAGAGGCCACCGGAGCGTGTGCACAGGCCGCCGGCTGGCCAGGCAACCCCCTCCCCCCTCCCCTGCGCGGCCCGGCCCCCGCCCCGCCTCCGGTGTGGTGTGCGATGGGGGGCGGGCGGCGGGCTGAGCCGAGAGGAGCAGAGCCGAGCGGACGCCGCCACCTGATCCCATCCAGGCGCGGAGAGGCTAGCGGCCGGCTCTCGGCGCGCGGCTCCCGGTGCCCGCGGCGGATTTGGAGACAAGGAGCAAGAGGGAGCCGCGACCAGCCCCCAACCCGGTCGGAGGCTGAGCCCCCGCGGCGTGAGTACTGCAGTGGCCGGCTCAGGCTGGGGGCCGGTAGACCCGAGCGGGATGGGAACGAGCGGTGGGTGGGAGAGTGCGGTTGGGGCCCAGAGCCTGGAGAGCACGAGGAGGGGGCGCTGTGCCCCCAGGGGTGCGGGCCAGTCCGGCCTATCCCATAGGGTGACCCGATGCCGTTGGCCGATCCCTGGGGAAGGTCGGGATAAAATTGAGGGAATGGGGGTGGGCAGCGATAGAAGACCAGGGGGATTGGGAGGCAGGGATGATGTGGGGGTGGGGTGGGGGTGGATGACAAGGAACGGGGGCTGGGGTGAGAGGGGAAGCAATAGGGGGGAAGATACTGGATTTCTTGGGTCAGCCCCTGGCCCCTTCCTCTAGCACAGGGGCACTTTGCCTATTCTGGGCTGTGCCAGCTGGTCAGGAAGGAGTCTCCAGGTCATCCAGCCATGGGGATTAGGGGAGCATCCCCGGCCAGGGCACCCTCCTCCTCCAAATGCCTCAATATCAGCCTAAGAGCTTGGAGGGGCAAGAGCAAAGGGCCCATTTAGAGTGGGTGGGCACCCAGGCCAGCAGAGCCCGATCAGCCCCGCCAGTTCCTTGGGTTCCCTGGAGAAGGAAAAGCAATTTGCAAAGCCAGGCAGCAGCCTGAGGTGGATCGTTCTTACTAAAATTAGCGCTGAAGCTCTGATAAGGCCGGGCACCCTGATCCACCTGGATGCCGAGGGAGACACTCTGCGCAGAAGGTGGGGAGGCCAGGAGGCAGGGCCCAGCCACCCAGCCCAACCCAGCCTGGAGAAGACACCGGGCCACCCCAGCCTCACAGCTCTATGAGAGACAGTTTGAACGAACTCACCAAGGACAGGGAGGCCTCCCCCAAAGTCCCAGCAGCACCCTCTCTCGGGACCTGGAATGTTTAGCCTGGCGGCGCGCCCACCCAGAGGAGACAGGGTTACTATTTTCAAATACCTGAAGGTTTGTTATGGAGAAAAACGTCCTTGTGGTCTAGCAACTGTGCACGGTGGAAGGTGGCAAGGGAAGAGCAGAAGATGCTAACTGTTCCAGAAAGAACTTTCGAACAGCAGAGGCAGCCCAGGCATGTACCAGGCTTGATCTGGAGGGGACAAGCACCCTGCCACGGTGGCAGCCAAGCAGGAGACTCAGTCTCAGCTGAGTTCTGGAAGCCTCACCTGTCATCACTCTCCAAGGAACAAGTCGGTCAAAAGCCATGGCTTTTGAAGGTGCCAGACACCCATGGAGACAGAGGCGGCGATCCACCAAGTCAGAGTGATGCCAAAACCTCTGGTGAGGCGTGTGCTGACCAGACCGGAGGCGCGAAGGAAAACCCCAAAGTGAAGGACCAGCTGGGCGCCCACCTAGACTCCCACGCGTCACAAGAAAAAGCCCGCATGGTGAAAGCAGCAGACCTGGGCCCTTTCCAGAGGAGCCACAGGCAACTCACTGACTTGCACGGTCCTCCTGAGACGGCAAAGCATCCTGCGGGCCGAGGCCAAAGGCTTAAATTCATCTTTTTAATAAACTGATCATCACTTTTTTAAAAAGGAAAGAAAGGAGCCATTGCCCATCTTGGAGGGCTACTGTCCCGGGGACGCTGGCACTCACTGTGTCCTCTTCCCCAGCAGGCTCAGACTGGGGGCTGGATCCCCAGGGCTGAGCAGGGGAGGGGGACGGAGGGGCCACCAAGCACTCTTCTCTGTGTGGCGGCTTGAAGCATCTCCCAGGCAAAGGCCACCATAGCTCACTGCAGGCCTGACCTCCCTGGCCGAGAAACGGCAGTCTCAGTGAACGTAGCAAAGACAGGAATAGGCTTGTCCCCCACTTTGCCCCTTGGCAACTCCTGCAGGCACAGGGAGTGAAGAAGGCATCCTGAGAGGGGCTGCTACAGACTCCCGCCCTCCACATGGAGCCTTGGACTTGCCCTGCTAAGCCCTTGGTTGCCCTGTGTGGCTGGACCCTTCACCCCCTTGGCTCCAGGAAGATTAGTCCTGTCTGCAGGCTGGGGAAGAAGCCAGGTGACAGGATCTGGAGAGCAGGGAAAGGCAGAACCGGGACATCTTTCCACCCAAACAGGTTTAAATGTAATCCAGGATTAATTGGGGGGAGGGGGTATAAAAAAGAGGGACTGGAAGCCAAGCCCAGGGCCCCAGGGGAAGGTGATGGTCAAAAGAGTTTTTCATCTGCCTCACCCCTCCTGGGACCCAGGTGTCCTAGTTACACACACGTACATGCCCCTAACGCTTGGGGCTCCCCCGCCCCTGTGGGGACAGGTATGTGAGGTTGCAGCTGGACCAGCCCCTGAGACAGAGACCCCACCTGAACTGGGTGACAGGCCCCGCTGCCGCAGCTGACTTTCCACTGGAGCTGCCAAGGGCCGGGCTGCCCTTGAGCCAAAGCACTGGAGTGGGGACAGAAGACCAGGCAGCAATCAGACCCTTCTGGAGACCTCAGCAGGGCAACAGGCAGGAGCCCCTCCCCCGCTGCCAGCCCCCGCCCCGGTCAGGTCCCTGTCTGGGCAGTCAGCTGATGGGGTGGCAAGGGTGTCAGGTGTCTGGGGATGGAATCAAGATAAGGTTCCAGGATTTCAGGGCCTTCCTTTCTCTTCCTCCTGGATTTACTGGCCTTGAGTTCTCAGGGCAAGAGCCCAGTGAGGGCCTCCCCGGTGGCGCAGCGGTTGAGCGCTGGGTTGCGAAGCTGCCTGCAGCGTCGGCAGCGCTGGTTCGATTTCTGGCCGCCGGGCGAGGGTCCCACATGGCACGCAGACCTCTCCTGCTGCCCGCTGCTCCCCTCAGCAGTGTACTTCGTCAGTCTGCCTGTTCTGCTCTCCCCTCTGGCTCTGGTGAATTCTCTCACCCTCCCGTGCTTCTGACTGTACCCAGTGCTTGTGTAAATAAATAAATAAATCTTAAAAAAAAAAAAAAGAGCCCAGTAAGGCGTTGCTCAGAAGCAGACAGAACTGAGGGCGGGGGGAGGGGAAACCTGTTCTCACAGCATCCACTAGGAGCCAGAGTGAGCAGGTCTGAATCTCCATTAATACCAGCTGTGGGGCCACCACTGAGTGGCCACCACTGAGTGGCATCATAGCCGACAGCCTCAGTTTCCTTGTCTGTAAAATGGAAATAACGCCTACGTGGGGCTGTGGTGAGGATGAAGGGAACAGTACGCTACACACAGTAAGCCTGCGGCGCCCACTCTTCCTCTTGTCAGAGACTCAACATCACTGTCTCTGAAGAGCTCAGTCTCAGGAGAGTCAAGACCAGCCAGCGGCCAAGGCAGCCAGTCAGGTAGTCCTGGAGGAGAGGAAGACCTGAACTGAGACTTCTGCTGTTGAGTGCCAAGGTGAGACTACTGGGCAGACAGAGCCAAAGACCAAAGACGAGGACAATCGGGCAGGCAGAGAAGCAGAGAACAGGGGCTCAACCGAGGGAGTGATCATGGCCCAAAGGGCTGGCCGCACCCCAAAGCCTGTAATTCCACCCAAGACTAAGTGATGCGCAGCGGTGTGGAGATAGGGTCTGGTAACGAGAGGCAGGAATCTGATCTTCCCTGGCCGCTCTGCTCACCCACCCTCTGGAGTTTTCCTTCTCAGCAGTCGTGCTGGGGCCCAGAGCCCATATCCTCTGCCCACTGCAAACCTGTTTGCCTCCTTCTCCTGCCAGGCCGCTCAGGAACACTGGCCCTGCTACCAGAGCCCCAGGAGCCTCCATGAGTGCCGAAGAAGGGAGTCCTGGATAGCGAGGCCCTGTCTGGTCCAGGAGAGGGTACCCCATCATGGCACCCATCCTCCAGCACCTGCAGCAAGCCACCAAGATAATGAGCCGCAGGAAAATCCTGCTGCTGGTGCTAGGGTGCAGCACCGTAAGCCTCCTCATCCACCAGGGGGCGCAGCTCAGCTGGTAAGGCGGCTGGGGTCTCTCCTTCAGTTTCTTCCACTGGCAGAAAAGTCCCTCTTCTGCTTGGTTTTGCGCCTTCCCACTATCTGAAAATGCTTTCCATATCGTCTTTTCAGATCCACATAAACTCCCTGGGCAAGGACTATTCCTCACCAAGGGCAGAGTGACCCCAAGTCAAAGTCTCAAGTCAGTGACCAGGCCAGGAGTCTAATTTAATTTAGCCCGAGTCTTCCCACAGGACTGGGCGAACTTCCCTCACTCCTGAGCCCCAGATTCCTCACCTCTAAGATGAGAATGCGTGACCCACTGGTTGCCCTGACGCAGGATTCCACACAGTGACAATTAGGAGCCCTGACCCTGCTCCTAGCGCGCTGTGTGAACCCTGCAAAAGATCCCTGTACCTCTCAGGCCCTCGACTTCCTGATGTTCTGACCACGAGAATGGTGTGAATGGGCCCAGACCCCCTGCCAGATGATTTGGTGGCTTTAAAAGGACATCTGAGTAGACATCCCGAGTCCAAACCAGGCAGAGTTAGGAGTTCTCAACAGTGTCCTCAAAGCAGTGAGAGCTGTCCTCGTTAGTTGCTGCTTAGAAGGGTGGAGACAGGAGAGCCACTCCAAGTCCGATGAGAACTTGCAGGTCGCGGGTGGTCTCCAACACCCTAGTTTCAGGATGGAGGAAGCATGAGAGCTTCACGAAGGCAAGGATGAGTATCCACCTTCCACACTATCATCGTTCTAGAACCCAGACAGTGGAGACTCAAACGACAGTGGCTAAGTGAAGGAATAAGGCTCCGGGGACCTTAACAGAACGGTGGCAGCTCGCTGGTCCCTGCCTGTGTTATCCTAGAGAGAAAGACGCCAAGATAGAAACTCTGGCCTTTGCCTTCTGTAATCTCAGCGGTAACATCCCATTTCCCTGCCCTATCTATCCTATGCCAGCAGGGGGCGCAGGGGTCATCTCAAGAGGCCGCTTACCAAGTCCCGCTCCTGTTCTGGGGGTAAAACCAGGAGGGGTGGCCCTAGGGGGGTGGGCCCCGGGTCAAGGGCACCCTTCTCATCCCCCTCCTCTCCGCCCACCCTCGGCCCCTGCAGGTACCCCAAGCTCTTCCCGCCGAGCTGTCCGCCTTCGCGGGCCTCGCCTCCGCGCCCCAAGCACCTGACCGTGGCCTTCCTGAAGACGCACAAGACCGCGGGCACCACGGTGCAGAACATCCTGTTCCGCTTCGCGGAGCGCCACAACCTGACGGTGGCCCTGCCGCACCCCAGCTGCGAGCACCAGTTCTGCTACCCGCGCAACTTCTCGGCGCAGTTCGTGCACCCGGCCACGCGGCCGCCGCACGTGCTGGCCAGCCACCTGCGCTTCGACCGCGCCGAGCTGGCGCGCCTGATGCCGCCGGGCACCGTCTACGTCACCATCCTGCGCGAGCCGGCCGCCATGTTCGAGTCGCTCTTCAGCTACTACAACCAGTACTGCCCGGCCTTCCGGCGCGTGCCCAACGCGTCGCTCGAGGCCTTCCTGCGCGCGCCCGAGGCCTACTACCGCGCGGGCGAGCACTTCGCCATGTTCGCGCACAACACGCTGGCCTACGACCTGGGCGGCGACCACGAGCGCAGCCCGCGCCGCGACGCCAGCTACCTGGCGGGCCTCATCCGCCAGGTGGAGGAGGTCTTCTCGCTCGTCATGATCGCCGAGTACTTCGACGAGTCCCTCGTGCTGCTGCGGCGCCTGCTGGCCTGGGACCTGGACGACGTGCTGTACGCCAAGCTCAACGCGCGCGCCGCCGGCTCGCGCCTGGCCGCCATCCCCGCGGCGCTCGCGCGGGCCGCGCGCGCCTGGAACGCGCTCGACGCCGGCCTCTACGACCACTTCAACGCCACCTTCTGGCGCCGCGTGGCGCGCGCCGGCCGCGCATGCGTGGAGCGCGAGGCGCGCGAGCTGCGCGAGGCCCGCGAGCGCCTGCTGCGCCGCTGCTTCGGCGACGAGCCCGCGCTGCGGCCCGCCGCGCAGATCCGCACCAAGCAGCTGCAGCCCTGGCAGCCCAGCCGCAAGGTGGACATCATGGGCTACGACCTGCCCAGCGGCGGCGCCGGCGCGGCCACCGAGGCCTGCCTCAAGCTGGCCATGCCCGAGGTGCAGTACTCGAGCTACCTGCTGCGAAAGCAGAAGCGCCGGGGCGGCGCGCGCGCCCGGCCTGAGCCAGTCCTGGACCACCCCCCGCCGCGGCCCATCCGGGCGCTGCCCCGCGGCCCCCTGGGTCCCTGAGCCCCGAGAGCCTGGGCTCTGGCCTAAAGGGGGCCGCTCCTTCCCGAGAGGGGAGTCCCGCGCGGTGGGCTGGCGACGGCGCATCTCCCTGTCTGCCCCCGAGCCCCGGGCGGGGGGTGTGGGGGGGCTGAACCCCACCCTCGAGGAGGGTGCTGATAGGCCCGAGTCCTGGATTACCCTCTCCTTCCTGACTGATCGGTGACTTTGACCCGAGGCCTGTCCAGAACTGCCACCCTGCCCTTGCCTGGGGTTGAGTCCCCACTGACTTTTCCAAGTGGGTGAGCCGGGGCCGCAGGGAGGGGGCGAGCCCTGAAGAAGGGCCTGCCCGTGGACCGCACCAGCCCTCGCTCTTCCGGGGTCACGTGCCCCCCCCACACTGTCCGTCTTCCAGGTTCCACCCTCCCCACAGACTTAAGCTGCTCCCACACTCCCAGAACCAAGAGTTCTTGAGTTGGGCTTTTTGTTTGTTTTTTTTTCCTTTTTTAATAAAATATGTTAAATGTGCAGGTGTTTTGTCTGTCATTGAAAGTCAAGTTTCGGGACCTCCCTGGTGGCGCAAGGAGTTAAGTTTCAGCACTGTGAAGCTGTTGCCAGCCACTGCAGCAAGGGTTCGATCCCCGGCCAGGGTAAGATGGATCCCAGGCCAGGGAGCTGACCCACATGGTGCCACAGACCTCTCCAGTCTCCCCTGCTGCTCCCCTCAGCAGTGTATTTCAGTAGATCCGCCTGTTCTGCTCCCCACTCTGTTTCTGGTGAATCTTCTCTCTCTCTCACACACACACACACATCTCTGGCCTATACCCCAGTTCTTGGATGCATAAATAAAAAATTTTTTTAAAGATTTATTTATTTACACAAGCACTGGGTATAGTCAGAAGCGCGGGAGGGTGAGAGGATTCACCAGAGCCAGAGCGGGGAGCAGAGCAGGCAGAAGGACCGAAGTACACTGCTGAGGGGAGCAGCGGGCGGCAGGAGAGGTCTGCGCGCCATGTGGGACCCTTCTCCTGTGGCCGGGGAGCAACCGGGGATCGAACCGGCGCTGCAGAGGCTGCGGGCAGCTTCGCAACCAAGCGCTCAACTGCTGCGCCACCGGGGAGGCCCCATAAATAAAATTTTTTTAAAAGTCAGGTTCCCCATGTCTGGGGGCACCCAAGATCCTCAGGGGGGGGGTCATCACAGGACTGGGGCCCAGTTTCAAACAAGCTCCTCTGCTGGCCTTCCCAGAGCCTCACCACTCTCATCAACCCCATGATTGACAAGGCACCCAACACAGATCCATCTCAGCCCCTTTCTTTAGAGAGAACCTACTCATTCTCATGGAATTCAGCAACGTTTATTGAGCATATTGTATCTGTAATTGGGGCACAGATGAACAAGGCAGGACCTTCCATCTCGTGGCACTGGAGTGGGTGCAGGGGTGCGGGAAGACTGACGGGCCCAGGAGGACCAAACAGGGAGGCTTGACTCAGAATTTTCCCTGCCCCTGTGTCACTGACTCCTACCCAGGTCTCCTGAGGAGAAGTCAACCCTGCCTCTGGAGGGCCATTCCCTGCCCCTGCGTCCTGGAGCACAGCAAAACACTCAGAATTGTCAAAAGGAGCCTCCTGCAGATGAGCAGAGAAGGGGGACTTCTGTTACTTAATTCAGAGCTGCGTGGGCCTATCTGGACAAGTGATAAAAATAACAGCTGACGGGTCAACGAGGGGCCGGCCACTGTGTCAGGGTGTTTATGCACAGGAACTTAGCGAGGGGCCCCGCTCGTGGGTGTGGGAACTGAATCTTGGAGAGGTTAAGTGAGTCCCCAGGTCACATAGTTACAAGCAGCCTCCGTAATTCTCAGCGTGGTGGTGTGGTGCCAGAGCCTGTCAGCAGGGTGCCCCCGAAATCAAGAAGTTCATGCGGCCCGGGCTAGGGCCACCACGAGGAGGACCTCTCCCCAAGAGAAGAGATTTTTATCAGCTCCTCTTTATTTTATTCTCCACAGATAGTGTCTTCCCCGTTGGGCCAGGGAGCTGGCAGTGGTTGGTTGACGGCTGGCATGAAACTGCTTGGGCTTGAAAGGAAGCTGCTTTTATGGCACCCTGCTTTTTACCGGGGGAGCTCTGGAGAAGGCAAAAAAAAAAGGCAGCAATTAGAGACACACAAAGACGTAATTAGGCTCCGGCACGAAGGAGCAGTAACAAATCGTAGTAGACAGAGACATTGCTCCAAAGACAAGCATCCTCTGCTCCCAGGCCAAGAAGCTGTCTGTCTGCCACTGCCCCCTCCCCTGAGGCCCCAGCCTCAGCCTCTGGTCACACCTTTGCCAGGAGCACCCTTCACCTTGCCCAGGGTCCTCCCAGAAAAACTCAGAACTGTCTCTAAGGTCTGCCTTGATTGGCCTGGTCCACCTTCCCGGGCCCTTGGGTCTGTGGGCTCCCCTTTCATATCCTTGTCCCCCTTCAGCGGAGAGCACTCAGAAAAACAAGGATTCAGGGACAAACTGGATGTTCCAGCCCTGGGAGCTTTCTCTGTTGGATGTAGGAGCAAGGGCAGACATTAACTGAAGACGGAATAAAATAGCAGGGGCACTCGGTCTCCTTCGTCCCAACATTTCCAGCTTCAGCCACCCCCCAGAAGGATGGGCCCTGCCCCTGGGCCTCCAGGCTACATGGATGCTCCTTCCGTCAACACACACGGTGGGCCCTCTCCACATGTTTCCAGAGCTTTGGCAGTGGGTGAAATGATGTCCCTGCCTAGAGGAACTCATGCTTAGCCCCAGGACAGGGGACACTGGCTTGGGGGGGAATTGCCTCCCCCAGTGCTTTGGAGTTCAAGCCCTACTGGTTCCATGACATTGGTCTCAGCCTTGGCACTTCACCTGCCTCAACTGTGAAATGAGTCACTTCCTTCCTGTTCCTTGTGTGAACGTACTTGAGGTGAGGCACCACCTGGCACACAGAGGTGTCCCCCCAGGAGCAGGTAAGGGCTCTTCCAGGACAGACACCCACAGATGGAAGAAAATGTTTTGTGTCCTTGGTTTTTATGACAGAAGGATGTGTGTGGTGTCGGGGGAGCGAAAAGGAGGATGGGAGAACCATCTGGAGAGGCTCCCAGCAGGAGGGATGTCCTAGCTGAGAACAGGAACGGGGGCGGGCGCAGATGGAGGGACCAGCACTTGCAGAGGCCCTGGGTGTGAGCACGCCTGGGGCTCTGAGAGCCAGGGGGCCGGAGGGTGTCGGGGGAGGATGCCTGCTCCACGTTATGAAAGGCCTTGCGTGTCATGCTTCAGGGTTTAGATTAACAGTGTCCTGTGTAGGACACTGGAGTGAATGGAATGACCAGAGGTGACCAGCATGGGGGGGCTGGGTGGCCCTCAGAGTAGAGGGGGTCACCATGTCAGCCCATCTGGAAAGACAGCACCCCAGGGACGTCTGGTCTAGTTGATAAGAAGTTCCTGGGGTAAGGAAAAGAAAGATCTATAAGAAACCGCAAAAGCTCTGGGAGAAGTTCAGCAGCTGAACAGCGATGCCAGCTGGAATGATGGAGCACTTACCACACGCTGGCACCTCCTCTGTGCTCGGTGTGTGTTAACTTACTAGCATCTTATGACAGCCCCGTGAGGCAGATATTCTTCTTAAAAAAAAAAAAAAAAAGCTTTATTTATTTATGCATACAAGAACTGGGGTGTGGGCCAGAGGTACAGGGGGTGAGAGGACTCATCAGAGACAGAGTGGGGAGCGAACAGGGGCATCTACTGAGATACACTGCTGAGGGGAGCAGCGGGGAGACAGGAGAGGTCTGCTGCTCCATGTGGGTCAGCTCCCTGGCCGGGGATCGAACTCGTGCTGCAATGGCTGCCAAAAGCTTGACAGCGCTGAGACTTAACCTCTGCGCCACCAGAGAGGCCCTAGATGTTATTTTTATGCCCCATTCACAGGAGGGGAAACAATGTACAAAAAGGTGAAGGGCGCAGAGTCCTCCACACATCCAGGGAGAGGTGGAGCTCGCTGGGGCCAGAGCCTCCCTGGGCCTCGGCCTCAGGAGCCCAGAGCCTGCCCTTATGATACGTGGGCTCGAGGGAATGCTGGGTTTTGTTTTGATTTTGATTTTTTTCTATTGAGGAAACACTGGCTGACCATAGTGTAGTTGGCTCAGAGGTGTAGGCTCACACCTCTTCAGAAGCATGTCACCACACGCACCCACCAAAGAGCCTCCTTGGGGGGCACTTAAGTACTCAGATGCCCCAGGGAAGGACTGCACCGGGCAGGCAAGCTGGGCTACCTGCCAGCACAACCGGGTAGCCCCTCAGGATGGGCCAGAGGAGTAGAGGGGGCACTGCAGGGCAGGAGGACGGGTTGGGGGGTACTCCTGGGGGCATCCGGAAGAGGGGATAGGAGAACAGGTGGTGACGGGGGAGGGGAACAAGGCAGGGACTTGAGATTAGCGCCCCACCCCACAGGTCTGCAGAGATCTAAGGAACTTGGCCTCCCCTCTGATCCCCGAGAGTCCCCCTGGTCCCCTCCAGTGGGCGAGGACAGGGCAGGAATGGCTTCCCCATGCCCACTGCTCACCCCACCCAATCTCACGGGATTTATACAATACCTGGCAACAGGGTGCAAGAGTCAGCGCCTGAAGCCCCATTATAAATGGGAAGATTGAGTCCCAGAGGGAGGACATGGCTTCCAGAGGGCAGCCCGGCTGCAGCCACAGGGGCAGGATCCTGGGTTCTCTCAGGCCTTCCCCAGGCTCATTGCATCTGCTGGGTGGAAATCCTATGGAACAGGGTGCCACATACTGTCCGGTTCTTCTTCAGGGACACTACACTGGTGCTTGAAATCATCCCCATGTGTGAGCCCAAGAGACCCAGGGAAAATGGGCAGGTTCTTTTGAGGTTTTGCAGAGACACCCTCACTTTTGTCACATTTGATTGGCCAAAGTTACAAGGCCCATCCAGACTCAAGGTATGCAGAAGTACATGCTGCAAAGTCATACTTTGGGGGGCCTTATGGACAGGAGGC